AAAATAAATAAATTAATTAAAGGTATTCATCTACAATTAAAAATATTTAAAAAATAAAAAAAATTTATTAAGATCTATTGTTGGTTTACTAAATATTGCCCAATTTTCTATGTAAGATGTTCAGTCTTTAATTTCAACAATATTTTTCATTCTAGACTTTCCATTATTTCTTTTTGAAAATTCTCTCTTTATTTTTATTTTATATAGCTTATCATACTATTTTTTAAAACTGTGCCATATTGCCTTTTTTAATGCTATTGATTTTTTTTTTATTTCTTTAAACATTTTTAGCATTGTAAAAAATGGGGCCTAGATTGAACCACTGGCCCTGCACATACCGGGCAAGTGCGCTAACACTGAGCTACACCCCCAGTCCATAGCACTCTTAACTTTTTAAAATAATTTAATTTCTTAATTTTTTATGTTGCTGGGGATCAAACTCAGGACTTTGTGCATGTTGATTATGCACTTTACCACTGAGCTACATCTACAGTGTAGCATTCTTAATTTATAATCTGTTTCTAATAATTATATTATCAAAGTTTTAAAAAGAACAACAATGTTTTATTGTTTATTTGCTGTGCTTAAGAGTCCTGTTACCTATGTAAACATTTGGATATGAGGTATCCCTCAAAAGCTCCTGTATTGATTCAAGAGTGTTCTCAGGCAAACTGTTTCATAAAGGCAACATTCACATGTCCACCAAAAATGTGTAAGGTTTCCAGTTTCTCTAATCTTCCTCCATACTTATTATCTGTCCTTTGACTATAGCCATACTTGTGGGCATGAAGTGGTATCTTATTGTGGTGTGGTTTGCATTTCTCTGCTGAATAATTATGTTGAGAGTCTTTTACTGTGTTTATTACCTGTTGTATACCTTCTTTGGAGAAAAGTTCATTCAGATTCTTTGTCCATTCTTGTTGCATTTTATTGTTTGCTTTCTTGTATGTAACTCATAAAATATGTTGTAACTCATAAAATATGTTGGGCATCCTGGTGATCAAACCTAGACTTTTGTGCATGCTAAGCAAATGTTTTACCACTGAGCTCTACTGCCAGCCCTATTTGTGCATTTTTTAATTTGTCTCTTTGTATCATTGAATGGGTGCTTTCATATATTCTAGATAAAAGTCCATTATCAGATATATGACTTAAAATATTTATTGCCATTCTGTTGATGTCCTTTTCACTTTCTTAACAGTATCCTTTGAAGAACAAAATTTTAAGTTTTGATGAAATTCTTTGTATGTGTTTTCATCCTGAATTGTGAGTTTGTGTTCAAGCAAGCCTTATCTAAGGGAGTCTGGTGCTGTCTGGGTTTTAGGTAAGATCTCCCTGAGAAGTTTTGAAAACATTCTGCCTATAGGTGTTATTAGCTAGAAACAACACTTACATTAATATATTAGTTTGGCATTTCCCAGATGGCACAAATTTTGCACATGAAGGCAGAACATCAATTAAAAGTTTAAATGTAAGGAAAATTACTGACTTTTTCTTTATGGCAGAAAGTTTTATTGTCTTCCTTCATAGCAAGGAAAAGCTTCATCTGGGTCATGCTTTTCATTGACAGAATCTTCATAAGAGTTAGAACTGTATGAGGGAGATTCCATTTCAAACCCTTACTGGAGTAAGAAGTATGGCAATTATCAAGCTCTTCATTATATTAGGTTCATGGTATCTCTCAGGAAAGGGGCCATGATCTGCTCGTTAGTATTTCCTTCATTCAATAAATATTTCTTGGGCCCCTACTATTTTCTGGACTCTGTTCTAGGTATTTGACACGTAGTCATCTTCCTCTTTCTTTGTGAACTCTGGAAATAGGCTTTATTTTTTTTAAAAGTTAGATCTAACTTTTCAAAGAATATTTTTAAATACTTATCAGTATATTTTGTTAAATACTTTTTCAGGTTATCTAGTATGCCACATTACTAGAAAAGTAATTTCAGGCCTTTATTATTGCTTAACTACTACAATGGCATCTTTATTGGCCTTCTTTCATTCTCTACCACTCCTATTCTTTATCTGCAGTACACTTGGAGTTTACTTTAAAAGCATACATTTGATTATATCACGGTTATCAACTTTTTCCTCAGTTTCTCAGGTCTACAAAGGAAGATTCAATGTCTTTTCCAACTGAATCACAAACTTCTCATTTTCTTTTCTCCTTCCATAATCCAACTTAGATCAGACTGCTTGGTATCTGAAAAAACACCACATATTTTCATATGTCTCAGCTTTGTCTATCCTTCTGGTCAGCAAGCCCCTTTCTAAATGTTCCTTTAAATATGCAACAAATTGAGAGCTCTTCTCTAGAGCCTTCTTTAAGCCTCCAGAAATGATTTATTTCTTGTGTTTTACCTTATTTTCACCAACAAGTAATGACTGAGTGAAAGAATTCCCCACGCAAAGACACTTCGCCGGGAGAATTCCAATTTTATTGCAAAAAGCTGTGTGCTTATATAGAACTAAAGGGGAGATGGTAGGGCTTAGATAAATGGCAGGCCACCCGTTTATTGGCAAGTTCTTCCAGATATCAGCTCCCGCGCCCAGGAATTAGTTCTCACTGGGGCTAAGGTTCCCCGCCAGCGAGGTTTGAAATTTGAAATTGGCGCCGGCGGGGGAGAGTTCACAAGGGCGGGAACCTTTTTCGCGCCACTGCAGAGAAGAAAAAGGTAGGAAGAAGAAGTCCTTAGACGCCATGTTGGGGTTTTTTCTCTGGAGTACGGCTGCTGTTTATACTTTTCCCAACACTGAGTATCTACAATATGTTGGCACAATGTTAACCATTTATTATAGTAGTGAGATGAGAAGACAATCTTTCTATTATGGAGTTTAGAGACAAAAGAATGGGAATAGACAAAGTATAATGGTAATTTTCTTAAAAACGAGGCTAATTTCTCCAGAGCAAAGTAGTGCAATCCCATAAAAATTTACAGCAGAAATCTGTCCTAAAGTTAAGTGGACAATATGGAAAGTTTATAGAGGGCATAACTTAAAAAATTTTTTTTTAGCTGTGGATGGACAAATACATTTAATTAATTAATTAATTAATTAATTAAATTTTGATGTAGTGCTTAGGATCAAACCCAATGCCTCATACTTGCGAGGCAAGGCTGTGAAGGTTCTGCCACTGAGCCACAATCCCAGCCCAAGGGCACAACTCTTAAGAAGGTATCTGAACCTCTAAAAAAGGAGTAGATATATACAAAGGGACTCCTGGAAGACGAGAGGGATTAAATGAAGGCCAATCTATGAGAAAAGTGAAGTGTAAGGATGTAATGGTGACCTGTATATTGTGAGAAATTCTTATGAAGTAGGCAAAGAACCTAACATGTATGATCTTATAGATTACAATCAGTTTTGGGGATTTATCTTATCATGGTGGAATGCCATTAAAAGTACTGAAGTGGTCATGTGTGAGTAGATGATGATGACATAATCAAATGTACTTCTGAAAAGATCAATCAAGTTGAAGTGGAAATGAAGAGAACTGGAGGAATTGAGAACTATTTAGTAAGGACACGACCTGGGAAATAGACTGGTTTTAAGAACAAATTGATCAAATGCCAAGTTTTTTGATTTATGTAATGAATATTGCTCCACCACATTTACCTAGAGAACAAAGAAAGATGATCAAGATTGGAGACAGAAGGTAAGAATTGAGTTCAGTCTTGGGCATACTGATTGTGACACATCTCCATGAAGCTGTGATATAGGCAGTAACATCTATGAGTCTGAAGCTAATAGATTAGGTCTGGAAATATAAATATGGCAGCCATCATTGCATATTTATTAAAATGATAAAATTTCCTAGCAGAGTATAAGGACAAAAGGAAAGGACCCATGGGGCTGTGGTTGTGGTTCAGCGGTAGAGCGCTGGCCTAGCGTATGTGAGGTCCTGGGTTAGATCCTCTGCACCACTTAAAAATAAATAAAATAAAGGTATTATGACTAACTACCATTAAAAATTTTTTTAAAAGGAAAGAACCCTTAAGATTATATCTTCATAAACCCTATTATTTAATGACTTTTTGAGGAGGATACACTTGCAGAAGAAAACAAAAAGAAAGCAACTTGAGGGGCTGAGGTTGTGCTCAGTGGTAGAGCACTTGCCTGGTATGTGTGAGGCATTGGGTTTGATTTTCAGCACCGCATATAAATAAATAAAATAAAGGTCCATTGACAACAACAACAACAAAAAGCAATTGGAAATGAGAGAAAATCAGGTAATTATAGTCCCAGGGAAACCAAAGAACAAGACTACTATGAGAACACACTGTTTCAAAATAAGAGTATATTTGTTTTTTCCCTGCACGGTGGCACCCACCTTAAATCCTAGCAAATTGGGAGGTGAAAGTAGGAGGATTGCAAGTTCCAGGCCAGCCTCAGCAACTTAGTGAGGCCCTAAGAAACTTAATAAAAACTTGTCTCAACATACAAAATTTTTAAAAGTCCATTTTATTTCTTTTTAATTATAGTGACACTTTTTTTTCTTAAAATTCTTGATTTGTATAAACAATTGGAAGGTTCTACTTTTTAACTTTTGAAGATACACACAGATATGTTTCAATGTTGGGCTAAAGCTATGGATCCCCTACCCAGAAAAATACATATATGTTCAAACACATAAAATTTAGATATCTAATTAGGCTTATAAATTTTCTGAAACAACATTAGATTCCCTGAATGATAATAAATCTTTAGTTTATGATCTTACAAGTTGGAAAGTCCTATAAAATGACAATGATGTTGATCAGATACATCAAAAATTGTTTGGGTTATTATTAGGTATATTATAGAATCAATAAATTTTGGCAGAAAGTGGAAAAGTGGAAAAGGGCAGACCCGATAACTTTGAAGTTTTTTCGTGGTTCCCGAATT